GAAAGGAAGAGGGGAGAAAGAGAGGGAGATAAACATCAATGTGTGGTTGCCTCTCGGGCAACCCCTTTGGGGGACCTGGTTTGCAACCGAGGTGTGTGCCCTGACTGGGAATCAAACTGGTGGTTCCAAGGCCTGCGCTCAGTCCACTGAGCCACACCAGAGGGTCCTCCCACTTTCTAAGTATAGCCTTTGAGGCCCAGCTGGATGGGAGCCCGGGCCAGAATTTCCCCAGAAAATGTTTGCTTGCACAGGGCCAGCTCGGGAAGATGGACAGGAGGCCGGTGGGGCCGGAGGGCAGGCAGAGGTGCTCAGCTGCCTCCTCACTCCCTTCGCTGGTGGGCCTGGTCTGATACACAGAATGGGTTTGATGACGGTCCTAAGGCCCGAGTGGGTGGCCCTCTCCCTTCATTGTGACAGTGGCCAAAGCTGGGGCCGGCGTAGACCAAGCTCTGAGCTGCTCAGACTGGTGTCTTCAGGGGCTGGGTGGCCCTGGAGAGCTTGGGCCACTCTGAGGGGCGGGGTGGGGAGAGGAAACAAGGTGACCTTGGACCAGCTGACATTCCATCTACCACTGCCGCTCCCTTGCCTTGCTGTGCCTGGCTCCCCCGCCTGGAGCTCAGCTATCTCACACTTTCCCATTTTTCTCTAGTTTGGGAAATGCTTCAGAATCCCATTCACTTGCTCAGGGCCACCACCCCGGGATGTTCATACTTCTGAAAGCTCAGCCCAAAGACCTGTCTTTCCAACGGCGGCATCTCAGGACCCTGTGATGGGAGGGGCAGTGCTGGTGGGCCCCTCTCCTCTTCGGGCAGGTGGGGAGGGGGAGCTCGAGTACAGCCTTTGTGGCTCGTCAGGGACTGTGCATCTGGGGCTGGAATCAGGGTGGAGGGAAGAGGCAGCCTGGTGTCAGTTCCACAGCCACAGCCAGGCCTCATGGCCTGGGGGCCGGGGCTCCCTGGCCCAGCGTCTTCCCGTGTGAAGCGCAGGGCCCTGAGAGGGGCAGATGCAAGTGCAGCTTGAGGTGTCATCTGGCCCCTGCCTGGTACACGTTAACCTCCCTTCTTTGGGGTGTGGGCCGCGCACTGCGCTTCCTGGCCTGCTGTGCTGTGCCCTTGTCTTCCTGCCTGGAAAAACCACTCGAGCAAAGGGAACCTTGACTTTGAACTCACAAGCTACATGCACAGGGCCTCGCCGGGCCCTGCAGCCCAAGAAGGTGCCACCGGTGATGGATCACAGCAGGCGAATCATACTGTTACTTTTGGTGTAGGGATTTCATTTGTCTCACCTGTCACTGATGATAAACGCTGTCTCTAGCTTACTGCTCAATTAGCTCTGATTGAGGCAGTGGGGGCAGGGGAGCAGGAGGGGGAAGGGAGGGGAAGGGATGTCTGCGCGTGTGTGCATGGCACTTGTGTGAGCTCAGCCTGGCGCTGAGAGGCAGGGCTGAGTGGGGGAGGAGCTGTGGGAGGGGAGAGGCGGCACCTGGGGTGGTGAACAGGAGGCTCACTGCTCCCTTTGGCGGGGCTTCTGGTCAGTGTCGCAGGCTGGATCAGGCCCAGGCCTGTTCCACCACACCCCCCAGCAAATTCCTCTTTGTTCCTTTCTTCCCCCAGCTGCGCCCTCTCCCCCAGGAGCTGTCCCTACAAGCCGGCCTTCTGGAGTTGAGAGCAGGGAGAAGCAGGGTGGGGGAGACAGCTGACCAGAATAAAGTCAGCTGTTCCCCAAGGGCTGGGGCTGCAGGGGCTGCTGGAGCCTGGGCGCTTCTGTTGCTCCTCGCAGATTGAAGCAGGGACAGTGTATAAACAGATGATAATAATCTTGGCTAACGAATTAGGAGAGTAGTAATAATAACAGCAATGCTAGCTTGTTTTTGTTGGGCATTACCTCATTTAATTGTCAAAACAACCCTCTGAAGCACAGGGCTAAGGACTTAGTCCAGGCCAGCGGCACAGCAGCTCTGATCCTGCCCATGGGCCCCGGGCCCTTGCAGAGCCGTCTCCCCTCCGGGCCCCTGTCAGTGGAGCACAGGACGGACAGTGGAGTGGGGCTCTCCCCCCGAGATCGTGCCTGGGAGCGTCTCGGTGTTTGTTGACCTTAGACTGATGGCAGATAATGATGTTTCAGTGACTCTACTTCGATCGGTGGTTAGATTCAGGTTTGCCAAGGTAGGCGTTGGCACCATGGAGTGGAGCCAGCTGAGGGCATTGAACTTTATTCCGAGGTCAGCAGGGAGCCCCTGAAGGGCCCGAGCATAGGAGGGCATTGTGGGGGCAGCATGGGGGGTAAACCTGACCCTCCTGTGTCCGTGGGAAAGGCAGGGGCCCAACGGCGGCTCCCGCCGCCAGACGAGACTGGCAGAATAAAGCGTCCCGGGCAACAATTCGGATGATGTAGTGAGCTGCACACATGTCCGCTGAGGCCCCAGCGAAGCAGACCCATCCCACGCAGGCAAATGGACAGTAAAAAATGTGTACAGGTGGATAAATCAATGGAGCATTTCTCAGTCAAGTTACCTGGAGAGATGCTACTTTACCTTTGGCATCTCTACAAGGATTATGCCATTTTGCAAAATGTTTTTAATTTTTACACGGGAGAGCCATGTTTAATGCCTCAGGCGTGTCAGTGGTCTTCACTGGGAGTGCTGGGGCTGTGTGGAGGACGGACGGCCAGGGTGGTGCCGAGAGGGGCGGAGGCCGGAGGACTGCTGTGCGGCCGCCTTAGAAAGTGCCTGCTGAGGCCCTGGGGAAGGTGAGGTCTCCAGGACAGAGCAGTTGGGGGCGGGGCGGGGGAAGGCCCAAGTTAGGAAAGGACAGTGACTAGCACAGTCTCCCAAAATGTTGAAATGGGGGCACTTTGGTCCTCCAGCCACCCTGCCCTGTGCCCGAGTCTCCCGGCCTCGCTTTGCAGATACAGCACCGCCCGTGCGCAGACCCACGGCAGCACCCCTCAGATGGAGGGTCCTCCGCTTTACTGGTTGCTTCCGCCGTTCAAGGTCTGTAGGAGGAAGGGCGTGGCTGTTTTGTTTGCCTCTGGATCTCCTGTGTGCAGTGCGGAGCTCAATACATATCTGCTGAGTGAGCACGCGTGCACGAGCAGGAGGGAACGAAACACCACGCTAGATGCTTCACCCGCGATGCACGGGTCGGAGAGGAGTTGGGGACAGCACGACTTTCCTCACGTGGCCCAGAGAGCACCTGCTGTGGCGGCTTCTCGGGGACGGCGGCCCCATGCCTGCCTCTGCACGGGCACGGCCACACAGCCGCACAGCCTGCCTGTGGCCCGTGTGGCCACGCCGAGGCCCCAGCTGCTTGTTCTCCCCCTTTCTCCCTCTCTGTCTCTCACATCTCCCTTTTGTTCTCCCCCACCCTAAAGTAATAAGCAGGTTTGGGGGCTCATGGAAAGCTTGCATCCTCGGCGATGGCACTCCGGAGAGAGGGGGATGGGGAAAGACTTTGCTGCCTGCCCTGCGGTCCCTCCTGCATTGGGGACAGTCATTTCCATGGCTGGTCCCTTTCCAGGGCCCCCGCTTCCCTGTGGTTCCTCGCCCTTTGGATGTTGGGGTGGCGTGCAAGGGGGTTGCCAGAGGGTGTTGTGTTGTTTACTGCTAAGCCACAGAACAAACTGCTCTAAATTGAGGGCTTACAGACATGGCCCTTTCGAGTGTTCTGGGGTCGGGATTCTGAAAGGGCAGAAAGTGGGCAGCAGGCCTCCATTCCAGGGGGTTGGCTGGATCCTGGTCACTCAGCAGGAGCCCAGCTGGGACAGCAGGACCTGCTGCCCCATGGGTCTTCCTAGTAGACTCGAGGGGGCTTCTTATAAGGACGATCAGGGCCCCCAAGAGTGTAACAGTGGAAGGTCGGAGTCCCAGGGTCTGCCTGAACTCAAGGGGCAGGGATGGCTGGGAGGTGAACAGTGGGAGGCATATTCAGGGATGTCACCCCTATAAGAAGAGCCTAGAAGCCTAGGGAGGAAGAATGGGTAGGGTGACCCCTCTGCCCAACGCTGGGGCACTGGCATTTGACTTGCATGGGATCTAGTCACAGGCTGGTCGCCTCCCAGCTGCCCGATCTCTCTAGGGCCGGAGGCCCCCAGCTGCCTGGCTTTGCTATCTCTCCCGTGTGCTCTGGGCACCTGGGTGGGTGGGCGGGCGGGCAGGGACCCTCACTGTTTCAAATGCCTGCCCTGGGCCCTCCCCACTCCTCTTGTGTCCCACCCATGGAGGGCCCTTCCTGCCTGCCACCCTCCTGGGACATCCTGATCAGGTCCGTCGCAGGGGCACTGTCACCTACCCTTGTGTGCTCTCTCGCCTGCCTTGTGCTCTTACCCCCTTTCCACGCCTCTTGTCACCTGCCACCTCAGTAGCAGCCCTTCGAGCCTAGGGTCTGCTGCCAGGGCAGTAGGTAACCCTCGCTGAGGTAAACAAGGTAGCCTGGCACAGGCTGGCTGGACAGATGGCCGCTGTGGCGACTGCACCTTCCCAGCTGGGAGGCCCTGGGTAGTGGCCAGAGTGGGTACTCTGGACTCCTGCCAAAGAGGCCGCATGGAAGAGACCAAGGGGCTGGCGGGTGAGCTGAGTGTCCAAGGCATGAGCGAGGGAGGCCTGCAGCTGTGGCTGAGGAGGGGCTCTCTTTAGGAGAGGACCCTCTGCTTTGCAGAGGACCCTGTCCCTTGGTCTCCTTACCCCTCCTCAGTGTCAGCCCTGGGCCCATGGAAAAATAAAGTCATAGAGCTGGTGAGCGGCAGGGTCCATCTGGAAGACCAGCTGACACCAAGGCCTGTGCTTTCCTAACAGCTGACACCGACCTCATCAAGGTGGTCCTACTTCCTTCCCCGGTGCAGGGGGTGGGGCCACCTTTCTCGTTCCCAGTGGAGAGGCTCCCAGAAGCTGCGCAGCCACAGCCGGGGAAGGAGGGCAGTGTGGGTAGACAGCAGTGGCTACGGAGGGCATGAGAAATGGCATTCTTTATTCATAAATAAAAACATAAAATCACCAGAAATAGATTACATGGCCAAAAGGGGCATCAAAAATAAAATAAAACGAAGCTGTTAAAAGCAAAGCAAATCAAACAACAAGAAACAAACCAAGAGAAAAATAACTGTGTACACACTCTTCCGAAAGCTGTTCTGACCAAAGGCAGCCTCGGCTGGGGGGTCCGGCTCTGCCCGCAGACACAGTGTGAACCCAGCATGCTTGCTGCAGGGGTGGGGAGTGTCCACCTGCACAGGGCAAACGCTCCGGCTTCAGGGAACTCGGGGCCCATGGGAAATGCCCTCTCCTTGAAGCTGCTGCTCCAACAGCCCAGACTGATGGGCTCTTGGGCAGCCCTGGTTGGGCCGGGACAAGGGCAAGGGCTCAGCAGTTGCTTCTTAGGGAGAGATGGCCCCCAGTCCCCATAGAGCTCACTGCTCACAGTGGGTGCACTGCACCCAGCAGGATCCCTGAACGACACTGGTGGCCACAGGAGACTCCTGTGGCGGGCGCCTTTGAGCGTCTGGTCATCCCCGGTCCCAGAGGCAGAGTCTCCTTGGAGAGGTGGTGCTGGATGCTGCTCTCTTTGTGCCGGTGGCCGGAGCATCTTCAGGCCAGGCCTTCTTTGGGGAGGGAGCGCAGCGGTTGGGTCTGACTGAGCGAGCTCGGAGGCCAGCAGTGCTCAGAACACAGGGCAGCGAGCTCACCCTGCCCGGCCAGACTGCCTGCTCGCAGGCTCGTGCCGTCCTACCTCCCCAGCCCTGCTCAGCCTCTGCTGGTCGGGGCCTCCTTCTGGGGAAGCTGGGTCTGGCATGGTCCAGGAGGATAAGGGTGTTTTTCCACAGGGAAGGGAAGAAGAGCCAGCTGGTGGTGAGGTTGCTATGTTACAGGACACTGATGTACCCTGCTGCCACTGCTGATGGCAGCTCAGGGGCGGCATCCGTGGTTGGCTGAGGGCAGGGATGTGGGGTGCAGGGCATGGTCCCACCACGAGCAACACCTACCTCTTCTCGGGTGAGGGACTGCTCTTCGAGAGGGGTGTGGGGGTGTCTCCAGCCTGGGGCAGTCTCACCGGGAGGAAGAACTCGGAACAAGACACGCACAGGCTGGTGGACATGGAGGGATGGAGGGCCGTGGCACAGGGAACAGGATGTCTGTGACTCGGTGTTCTGCGCTCTGCCTGGTGAGGGGTGGGGGCTCTGGGCAGGGAGGGGGCTCTGGACCTATGGATTCCAGGTTTAAACCTGGCTGATGACTAAGCCATGGCTTCAGATTCCAGGAATGCCCCTCTGTCGAGTGAAGGCAGCAGGATGGGCACAGCTTAACCCTTGGGACAGGGAAGCAGGGCCAGCTGCAGAGCAGGTGGCTCTGCCCACACCCTGGAGTCGTAGAAGGAACGTCGTGGGTCCTGGAGGGACAGCGGTGGGAAGAGGAACAGCCCCATTTGCACCCAGGGGACCTGTAGCCAGACATCAGAGGTCAGGGACGCAGATGGGATCGGTGTGGACCAGCTAAGTGCCCTGCCGCTCTCATGTCCCTTGCCTGGGCCTCCCAGCAGGCAGGCAGGAGGCACAAGAACTGGCAAGGGCTGGCCGTCCTGAGAACAACAGCTGCGGTAGCATCAAAAATAGAATGGGGAGCAGCCTGGCTGCCTGCTAGAGCTGGCTTGCTTCTGGGAAGTCAAGAAGAAAAAAAGAAGAAAAAAATTTTCCTGGAACAAGCAACTGATCAGCTCTACCTTTTCTGCCCTTGCCAGCCCTGCACACCTTCAGGAAAGATACCCCAGCCTCCCCAGGTGCCGGCCTGCCTCCAGCAGCTGTGGCCTCTGGCTTCTTCAGCCGGGGCTCCTGTGGGGCTTGGGGTAGAGGAGGCCAGTTGGTGGCCCTGGGGATGTTCATAAGGCAGTTCCTGCACCTCTTGCTCTCCCCTCCTGGGCTCCAGCCACTGGTGCTCTGGGAACCCCATCTGACCAGGAAGGACTCTTGTCTGAACTTGGCACTGGACATGTGAAGGGGAAAAGGTGGGCTGCTGCCCAGACTGCCCTGAACGGTCTCTGTGGATATAGGTTATATTGGATCCAGCTAGTTCACAGTAGCCACAGGCCAGTTTCAACCAGGTGGGGAAGCCCCATGTCCAGACCCCACAGGAACTACCTGGAAGGTCTCCTGGTGACAACTGAAAAGCCACACCCACCCTGTGTCCAGTGCCTCCCATCTTCCCTTCCCAGCACCTGCCCAGATCCTCAGTGTCTATGGCTTTACGGGGAGTGGTCACCGAGGTCAAAGGCCACCAGCCACCTGGAGTCTGTTCCCCCTCCCCCCTCCCCAGTTAGCAGGCCCAGCAGGGTCTGGCCAAGACCAGTGAGCTTCTCCCTCAGCCCCTGTGGTCCTTGCTGCTACTCTCCCTCCTTCCCGTAGCTGTGGGGTCAGGATAGCACTGATGGTGCTGAGCCCGTTTTCCACACCCTCTTCCACCCCTGCACCTCCTTGGCCAAAGGGAGAGCTCAGGTTATGACCCGCTCAGGTTACAGGGATTCTGGTCACAAATGGCAAAGCATCCCAGGACACCCTGGGGAGAAAGGCCAGTTGCGGAGAGGTGGTCACTGGCTTTCCTAGCTGCTGCCGCTGCTGCCATCCCTGGGGGAGGACATCTCTAAGTACTGAATGCAGGCCAAAGATTAGCGAGGCCTTCCTCAACTGTTGGGACTGTGGGCCCACCTCTTGGGAAAGCTGGAGGTCTGGAGGGCTGCAGAACGGTGAGCACTGGACCATGGGAGGGGGAGGGAGGCCCTGTGGCAGTCCCTTGGCTCCCCTCCACTCCGTCCCATTGAGGGTTCTAGGCTTGTGCCCAGGGGCCCAGTGACTGAGCAGGGGAGAGGATGGGGGAGCCCCCCAGACAGGCTCAGCACCACTGCCCCCCAGTGCCAGGTCCCAGCTCTCCCTCTCCCGGGGCCCCTCAGATCTCGGTGGCAATGATGTCCTCATAGGGGATGTCAGCCCCTTCAAGGTCAATCTCCACGGGCTCCCCTGCCCCGTCCCTGTGGGCCAGCTGCTGCAGGGCCTTCTCCAGGCGCTGGTTCCGCTGGTACATGGCTAGGTAGCTCTGCTGCAGCTGCTTCTGGTACTGGATCACCTTCTCCTTCTCCTCCTTCCAAACCAGCCGCTCGTGCTGGAAGCCCGAGGACATCTGGTCATGGCCTTGCCGCTCCTCCCTCAGCTCAGCCCGCAGCCGCTCCAGCTCCCGCTGCAGGGCAGGGATGTCCTCCGAGAAGGCGGGCCCTGGCCCAGCCCGGGGCCCGCAGTCGCGTTGCAGGGCGGCCTGGGCCCGCAGCTCCAGCAGCTCCTGTTCCAGCAGGTTCACCTTCTCCCGCAGGAGCTCCGACTCATTCTTCTTGCGCTGCAGCTCATTCTCGCAGACCTCCAGCTCCAGACCCTTGGTGCGCAGGGCGCTCTCCAGATCCTGCGTCTTCAGCTCTGTGCCCTCCAGCTTGCCCCGTGTGTCCTTCAGCTGTGCCTTCAGACTGAGGATCTCACTGGCCTTGGCGTTGACCTCCATCTGGGACTCCTTCAGCTGCTGCTTGAGGAGGGAGATCTCGCCTGACTTCTGGCACACCTGCCGAGGGCCGGGTGGGAGAGAAGGGGAGTGCCAAGAGGTGAGAGGTCATCGTCCAGGGCAAGGCACGTCCTCACTGCCTCCCAGAATGACGCTGCCCTGACACAGCTGCCAGTCCCCAAGCATGCCGGTTTGGTGACTGAACCATGGAGGCCGGGCCCCTCCTGAGGCTTGTTTCATTCTGTAGTCTGGCTCTGTCGTCCATGCACCTCCCTCACCCCCAGTTCAGAGTCCAGATCTCAGTCTACACCCGAGCCTATGGTCATGTGTCAGTCAGTGGCCAGCGGTTTAATTTGCCCACTGCTGGCACCCCCATCATCCACACTTAACACCAGTGGTGCTGACCTCTGTGTCTGTCACGCTTCTGTCACCACATTCATGCACATACACTCTGACCTCACCCCCGCACACACCTGGCTCCCCTGCTTCACTGGGGCGAAGACTGGATCCACGCACGCACCCCGGGGTGGGCACCGTGCCTGAGCCAGGGCCCGATTCCCATCGACTAAACGTGGGCTGATGGGCCATGGAGTTCTCCCCACCTGCCCCTGCCTCCACAATTTCATTCCCAGTCTCTGTCCAAAGTCAGCAAGACCCCAAACAAAAGCTAAGGCACTGAAACAGATCTGGGCGTTTCTGGGTCTTGGCCATTCGGGGGCATGAGTGGCTCAGGAGATGACCAAGGCCAATGTGGTCGTGGGGCCGAATGCTTCCGCTGCCTTGGGAAGGTGGCGGGGTGCGGCAGGGCCTGGGCCTCTAACTGGGGGACTCTGGACTGAGACTGGAGGCCTCCTTGATAGTCCTCCCCGTTCCTCTCATGGTAGAAGCCCCCTTGCTGACCTGAGCCCCCTTGGAAGTGTCGACTGAGACCCAGCATGCCTTCCAGGGTATCTGCTCCATGGAAAGAGCAGCTCAGAACCACGGCTGAGGCCTGGGCTGGGCTCCGGACCCTGAACTGACCACTTAGGACCTGTGTGACCATTTGCATTGTGAAAAACAATCTGAACTCTGGGGCCAAGCCATCAGGATCAAGTCCTGGCCGTGATATTTATTATGGGATGCCCATGGGCAAGTCACTTAACTGGCTGTTGGTTACTATAACCCCTCTGTGCCTCAGTCTCCTTAACTGTACTCTGAGGATTAGGAGTAGTGCCTGCTCCATTGGGTAAGGAGTATAGATGAGAGAACCTAGGGCCTGGCACTTCAGAAACATGCTATACACTATTATATAAATATGTTTTATTCTATGGTATCGTAAATGTTTAATTTAACTTATTTGACTTAGTGTTTTACTCTATAACCTAACTGGACGACCTGGGAATGAGGTTCATAGCAGGGCCCAACTTAGTCCCAAGGGGACAGACAAGGACGGATGCCTAACGCCAGCACTAGCTGTGTACGTGTCCCGAGCTGCCCCAGAGTGTCCTGAGCCCTGGCTGACAGACATGGCCGGGGCCGACGGGGAGGAGGAGAGGCGCTGCCCCTGAGCAGGGAGACCTGGCGAACAGGACGCGGCTCCCTTCTCGCGTGTCCAGCCCCCCATCCGTCTCTGCCACAGACAGGAGCCTTCCCTCCACTCCTGGTCACACTGTCACTCTCATCTCCAGGGCAAGTCCAGAGAGCTCAGTGCAAACAGGTGGCTGTGCTGCCAGGGGGTGGAGCTGGTCCCACCGGACACAGCGACTCCTCAGTCCCTCTCCAGGGTCGGGGAACCTGGAGGAACCGCAGAGCTGCTGGGCACATGCTCCCACCTGCACTGGCACCGCCTCCAGGGGCCTCCCGAGGGGAGCAGCTGCTCCCAGGCAACAGGGGCGGGGGTCAAGCAGGTGTCCTGCAAGGCCAGATGCGGAGGCCTCCCTTCCAGCTGTGTCTGAGTGCACGTGTGAGTGCGTGACTGGTTTCTGTCCCAGATACCTGATAGGAGCCCCACTAGCACCTCCAGGGGGAGCTGTTCATTCTGTCACTGAGACCTGCCACAGTGGGGTCACTGACCAGTGGGTGGGGGTCCTTCCCTCAAAAGTAACATATCCTCTGCTTTCTCATGGCTCCTGGAGCAGCAAGAGCCCAGGTGTGGCTGTGCTTCTACTGAGCCTCCTGAGAGCGGATGAAGCGAGCCTGCCCGTGTATGCCCAGCTAGCCTTGCTCCTCATGGTTCCAGCCTCTTGGTCATTGACTTGGCCAATAAATTCAATTCTGGGGCCACGAGGCACAGAGACAGGAAGAGGGCAAGAAACTCAGACTAAGAGCATCCCCGAAATGATTAACAGGGAATCCCTCGTTTGGGGGCCCTTGAACACAGCATGCTGGGGCAGTTGGTGTCCACACACCACTGGCCAGAACCTGGAGGAGGGGAGGGGCCTGGGCACCAAACATCGACCACCCGAAGCCTCACCTCCCACTGGGTCTCCTCCAACGCAGGGGCGAAGCTGGTCTTCTCCTTCTCGTAGGACCGCAGCTTGGTCTCCAGCAGGTCCTGCTCCTTCATGAGGCTCTCAAGCTCCTGTCGCAGCTGCCGCTTCTCTTGCTGCAGCTGGAGCACCTGCAGGTGCAGCACCTGCTGGGCGCGCTGGCTCTTCTGTGAGGCCGCCTTCAGCTTGCTGCTGCTCTTCTGCTCCGGGCCCTCCAGCTCGTCCTGGCAGCGCCAGGGCCGCTCCTCATAGGCCTGGCTGGAGGCCAGCTCCTTCTCCTCAAAGCTGCGCCGCAGCTTCTGCAGCTCGCCCTCCCGCTCCAGCAGCTTCTGCTCGAGCTCCTGGATGGCACACTCGTCCGTAGAGATGGGTGAGCGCACACACGAGGAGCCCCTGTCCGCCTTGCTTGGGTGCGCCAGCTTGCTGCCCCCATCGGAGAAGGACAGCGCCTTCAGGCTCATCATGTTGCTGTCCTGGAGGAGGAGGCCCTGGGTAATGTTGTGGGCTGAGCCCCCAAAACGGCTGGTGGGCCCCACAGCTGTGACCAGCGGGTCCAGCTGGTAGCTGCTGCTGGTGCTGTGAGTGGGCAGGCTGGACATGGAGTTGCGGCCGGAGTCAGACAGAGCGCCGGAGCACTGGCCGGGCTTCAGCTCCTGCTCCTTGGGCTTGTCTGGAGCGGCGGGGTGCAGCTGGTGGCTGGTGTTCTCAGGGGAGGTGTGCAGGATGGCTCCAGACCGTGGCAGCACGGGCTTGAAGGCTGTGGGCCTCACTGCGCCCTTCTCTGAGGCCTGGGGAGAAGAAGTGCATGACCTCGGGTCTCCCTCCCCACCCGGCCACCTGGCACCATAGCCACGGGCGACCTCCCCTGGTGCCCTGAAGCAGCCGAATGCTGTGCTGAATCTCTTTCAAGGAGAAACCCCTCTGTGCCTGGAGATGTTCTTAATAATCACCCATGAAATGCCACCTGTCACAAGCTTGTCCCAGCCTCATGAGATGATGAACAGCTCTGCTCTGTCTCGGTGGGGTGCTGCAGGGACTCTGGGCTGGGTGACATGGTGTCCCTATAGAAGTCAACCCCTTGCTCACCTCCACTGCCCTTCCAGAAGACACCACTGTGGCTTCCCCTGAGGGCTGGGGCAGTCACCTGATATAACCCTTTCCTTAAAATTGTCATTTTCATTGGTAGAGTACTTTGCTATTTATAAATAACCCCTTCAGTTTGAAAAACTTAAGGCTTTATGCAAACATACAGGGCCACTTCCCAGGGGTCAAAGCCAGTGTGGGGCAGGGGGCTGAAATAGGAACATGGTTTTTGGTGTCCAGTGGTGGGCCTCCTGAGAGCTTACTCTGGCCGGAGGACTGGATTTCTGAGTACGTAGGACTCTTTGGCCCTCATTTCTGCTAAAGATGATGGCAAGAAACTCACAGCCGTCTTCCAGCCAGACGTCTCCTGGCCGGGCTTGGGCGAGGAGCTGCCACACCAGCGAGCTGCAAGTGAGGCGTCTGCTTCAGGAGAAGCTGCCAGCGCTCCAGGCGGGCTCCCCATCTGCTCTCCCAGAGCCCCCTCTCCTTCCTGTGCACTCGAAAACGCTGCTGACGGTCCTGCCGCCACCACCCAGTTACGTCCGGGGGAGCTCGAGAGCCTTTCCTTTCCCCTCTGTTCTCTGCTTAATGGCTCACCCGAGGCTGACCAGTGCTTCTCCTCCCTCGTCCAACCTTTGACCTCTTCAGTGCGGTGGAGCATTTCCACCCTTCCAGAGCCACTCTGGCCTGGCGGGGACCTGTGTGTCTAGATCACCCCGCCATTCCTCTCTGTCCTGTGCTCCCCACCCATTTTGGTCTCTCCTGCTACGGCAGCCCACCCGCCCGCTCCAGAGACCCCCACTTACCATTTCTAGCTGACTGGAGAAGGGTATGAGCTTGGGTGGGGTAGATGGGCCGAAGTCCGCCCCAGCTTGGCCCCCCAGGTCCCCGCTGGACAGTGCCGTGTAATCGGGGTGGTGGGAGCCCCGGGCCTTCTGGCTGACTTTGATGTAGAAGAAGTCTTCACTCTTCCCCATTTTGGAGCTGGACTTGCCCCGGCCCGAGTCCTGGGAGAAGCCGAATCTGAGCAGCCCGTCCGAGTACCGGTTCAGTTTCTTGAGGTGGGAGGACTTGCGCAGCTTGTACTGCGAAGCCCGGCAGTGCTTGCTGTGGAAGCCGTGGCCGGAGATGAGGCTGCTGACGCTGCCCATGGTGACGCGGGGCCGGGCACAGGCGGGGCAGTGTGGGAACCCGGTGTGGCTGCGGCAGCGAGGGGCAGTCCTGGATCCTTGAGGACACTGCGGTCATAGCAAATGCCTCGCCGAGCCTGGGACAGCGCAGACCTGGAGGGAGACACGGGGCAGCAGTCAGCTGGGGCTGGTCACTGGCGTCCTTGGTGGTGACTTGAAGACAAGTCACTCTTACTGCAGGGTCTGGGTGGCAGAGAGGTGCACGTACCTCCACAGCTCAGACCTGTCTCAGGCCCCCCTCTCCTGGAGGGCGCTGCTCTGAGCCCGGAGGGCAGGAGGACAGCAGTGACTGAGACGCTCACTGTCCCTGTGCTTCAGGTGAGTGTAGTGTGGGCGGGCCACAAACGAGCAATGTACACATCTCAAGTGACAGGGGTACCACGGGGAAATAAGGCAGAGTGCGTGGGATGGAATTTGGGGGTGGTTGTTTATACAGGGGACACAAGAGAGGCCTCTGTTGCGGTATCATTTAAAGAGACACCCCTCAAACGAGAGCAATCCGCGTGAGAATGTGGGGGAGAAAGAAGCAACCTGCATGTAAATCCCGAGTCCCTGCGGTGGAGACTGCCTGGCACGTGGGAGACCAGCGAGGGGACCGGCCCAGCTGGACAGCAGTTAGTGGCAGGGCGGGCGAGAGGAGAAGCCTGGCGCCCGCAGACCCTGGCTTCGGGGCAGGCCGATTATGTTAGGTGAGTGACTACCAAGGCTGGGCCAGGGTGGTGGCTTTGGAATAAATTTTAGATTTAATTTTAAGGTTCAGCTGATAGGATTTGCCAGATGATTGAACTCAGGGAGCGAGAGAAAGAGAGGAGTCCAGGATGACTCCACTGCTTTTACCCAAGTAGCCAGAACCATTTACTGGGATGCAAAGACCACAAAAGGAGCCCATTCAGGATGCAGTGGGGGTGGATGAACTAGGGGTGTGGTGATGGCTGCGAGGAGTGGGCAGTGGGGTGGGGGGTGCCTCGGGGGCTGCAGGTTTCTGTGAGGAAGTTGTTTGTGGAGGGGAGCCCACTGTGAGACTGGAAGAGGCCAGGAGGGCAGCAAGACAAGAGAGGTCGGAGCACTGGTTTGAGGCGGCAGAAAAGCGAGGAGTGTGAGGATGCGAAACAGCAGCTCCGGATGCAGGAGCCCAGGGGCAGCCAGGTGGAGACCCAGACGGGCCAGTGGATTTGGCCATGGGGAGGTCATCAGTGGCCTCAGCAAGAGCAGTTTTGGTGGAGTGGTGGAACAAAGGCCTGGATGGGGAGGGTCCAAAAGAGAAAGAGGAGGGAGACAGCTGCATCCTTGGCCGTGGAGAAGTAGGTGACAGACGGTCTGTATTCCCAGGTGTGCCTCCCCCATCCCTGCCAGCTGTGCCACGTGGGGCGAATTCTCTAATGTCTTCAACCTTAGGTGTCATGAACTAATGCTAAAACACACTTAATTTTTTAAAAAAGTAATTAGAATGTATCTTATGATAACTGTCGAAAACCGTAACAACGGCGTGGCCCCTCACTGGACAGAGGAAGGCACCGTGGCGCCGGTGCCTACGCGCTTGCCTGCTGGGTAAACCTGTAAGCAAAGCAACGTTGGGAGGCTGGCATGCATTGTGCGGGAGGGTTTCTTAGCCAGTCAACAGCCAATAAGAAAGACAAAACTACAAGCTTAATAAAATAGGAAGTCAGAAGGAGCCCCGCGCTCCTTATTCTGCTCTAGATGATGCTGTGGATCCAGAAGGGGCGAAAAAGTCCCAGGCGGGCTACCGAGAGCTGCGCGTGCGTGGTGGACGGAGGCTTGGATTCAGCCGCGCACTGTTATCCTGACGAATAAAGTGGTTATGTTATGAATAAATAGGCTCTGTGTTTCATAAGTGAAAGCACAACACAACCAAACGGCGTTTTGTGAGCGTAATGTATGCTCTCCTACGAAAAGCTGTTGTTAGGTTGAGGGTGAAGGCGGCACCGACCCGCCTGCCCTGAGGGCTGTCGCAAGGAGTGTGCGGTACCGCCAGGAGCTAACGGGCATGTGCCGGGCATTCCCTAAACTTCCACTGGCATCCATGTTATATTATTACCAGTGCTGCCCCCAGCATTCATCACTCGCGTGTTATCCTCAACGCCCTCCCACCGCCACATTTTCCAGAATGCGCTCTCGCTCTTCCAGCTGCAACTTCCCTGCATCCCATTCCCTGACAGTGCTACCCAGGAGTATGGAGGTCCTCTGCTCACTTCACAGGCGACAGCGAAAAATACGTTTTTCATCCCCCTGGTCATCCATCTCTTGCTTAGCTGAGGACTTTGGGTCCTTCAAGGCAATGAATTCTTCTGTGCTTCCTATGCAAGAGAGCTATTTTTGGCCAGAAGCCTCTCCTGCTCTCTGCACAGGATACCCCTTGGGCAATGGGTGACTTGTTGCCCATCCAATCGTATGTTTGTGGGCATCTGCATGCCCAGTGTGGGGAGGTAAGGCAGATCCGGATTGGAAAATTGACTTCTCTGAGGTTCCTTTGCTTACCAAATAAAGACATAGCTATTTCAGAGGCCCAGATGGAGGATGAAGTGCACTAACAGAGGTCAAGGGCAATGCTCAGCACTTGACAGGTGCTCTACAGATGTGTGATCAGCAGGAAGACACGGCGAAGGTGTTTCCGAGAGACGCACAGACCACGGCTGGGTTATCGCTAGCATCAGGCAGCCACTCTCCGTGGATCTGTTTGTGGTTTCCTGCTCCACTGTGGTCTCCTCTCACCCGCCCTGCGAGACAGCCTCCAAATGGTCTTCTGCACCTGAAGCGGCACAACCATCACACACCTGAGGGAAACCTTTCAAGGCTTCCCATTGTTCTTAGAGCAGACTCCTTACCAAGTCCTGTAGGCCCCGAACAGGACCCGGTTTTACCTGCTGCTCCAACCATATCTCTCCCTGCTCTTTCCTTGCTCATAACTACAGTCACAGCCACTCGGCTTTCCTATTGGCTCTCCAGCTGCTGTTGCCTCTGCTGACAAGCCTCTTCCCTCAGCTCCTCACACAGAACGTTCTCCCAGACATCGCCTCTGCCAGGCAGCTTTCTCTGGTCACCCTGGGAGACGTGCCGCTCCCCCACTTCTCTCCCTTATCCCAACCTGTTTATTTCTTTTGTAACACTTGCTTCAACCTATAAAAATCTTATATTTAAATCTGTGTTGTGAATGTCTCCACCAAAATTCAAGGTCCATGACAGCGAAGACTTTGCATCTATAGCTCCTAGAACAAAAACGAGGAGAATGAGGCAGAGACTCAGAGCGGTTAGGTGAGCTGTCCCTTGTGGTTCCACTGACTGGTGACCGTGGTGGAACCAGACCCAGGTTCCATGAGCCCACGCTTCAGCACACTGCCGAGGACTGTAGGGGAGGCTCAGAGACGTTAGGGGTAAGTACTGGATGGTGAAGCGAGTCTCCTAGGTGGGGAGGGCCTCGCCTCTGGCCAGGGCTTCATTTCCCTTCTGGGTGGATGACAACAGGGTTTTAAGCGCAGGTGAGCCCCTTTGCTAACTGAGCAGCAGCTGGATGACTTGTGAAGCGAAAGCACTGTTCTAGGCCCCAGGGGACCGAGAGGAAAAGATCACGGATGGGAGGGGAGCAAATGAGAGGCGGGGGTGAAGGGTGGTGGCTGCTGGTCCTCTGAGTGCATTCTTAGCCCCTGACCCCCGCCCTCCCTCCACTCCCCGGATCCTGACACAGAGGAGCTTTGAAGTTTGAGATTATCCCAGAACCACTTGGAGCTAAACTAATTACCTCTCAATGTCTGGACTTGTTCTGTTTTCAACTTGGAGAGAACATCACAGAAGACTTGGCTGTGGTCCAGCCTAGTTCCCAGCCCCAGTTTTCCCACCCGCCCAGCCCCGCAGGATTGCATCTCTGTGTTCAGAAAGGACGGGGGAAGGGGCATATTTTTATTCCTGGGAAACAAATCCCATTGGCCCACAGTATGTACTCAGGGCAGAAATAAACCACCACACAGATCTTGGAGATTCAAGCAGGGGAAAGGAAGAGGGAAGGACTGGGGAGGAAAAAGGGAAGGAACCATAGAACCTCACACTGAGTATGTTGGAGTAACCTTGTTCTACATGACCTCCCACCGATTTCAAAGAAGGAATCCATCAAGAATTAGACTTCAGGTACCAAGAGAAGAGAGGAAAACGGAACAGCTAGTGGGAAAGCAGTCTCCTGCCCCTGGCTATACTTCTCAGACTCTGGCCCCAGAGAACTCGGGGGACCTCCCCGCAGACCCAGTGCCAGCCCCTCCCACCCCACCCCCCACAAACGACTGTGGCTGCTATGCCGGGGCAGGCAATGACCTGGATCCTGGGGCGCCCTCAGCTTTGAGCTGCTTCTGCCCCACCACAGCCACCTTTCCCCACTCCACTCTGCACCCTCCTTCCCAAGAGAAATGAGGGCTGACACCAGCGGGACACGTGCCTCTGATCGTCCCTTTCTGGAATGTGGAGGTAGAGGCACAGAGGCGAAGAGGGGCCTGTCTAGACTCAGGAAGGTGAGAAATGTCGATACATACCCTCCCAACCCAAACTGCAGGGAAGAGCAGCTCTGGCCCTGCCCACATCAGTCCAAACCTCTGGCCGGGGAGGGTGAGGGTCCATATCTGTCCTTCCCTCTTCTCCAGGCCTGGCGAGGTCACCATAACATCGGGATGCTCAGCCTCCAGCCACCTCACTCCTCAGTTCCCCCCATATTTCCCCTTCTGCTCCCAATTTCCTCTCCCTCCTTCATCCTCCCCATCTCTCCTTCTCCCCACACCCTCCTAGGGAGTGGTCCTGCTGGCAGTGTCAGCCACAGCCACACTGCAGGCATCTCTGCTCTGCCTGGCCCCTCCCACCGAGGAGGTGGCTCCGAGCAGGGCACACCCACAGGGACCCGCTGAGCTCGAGGAGGCCGTGCCAGCTCGCTTGTGCAGCCTCCTCTGGCACCCAGGGCAGGCTGTGCCACCCACTCCCAGGCCCACCCAGCAGGGTGTGCCCCAGTGGCTGCTGTGCAATGTCATCTGCAGGCTGAGCCTAGATGATGCGGCTGTGGGTGGGTGGGGTTCATTACATCCTTTATTCAGTAAGTATTTATT